GCCGTAAAAGTATTTTTATATGAATAGAATTATAACTTTTAAACATTATTTTAGTGTAGATAATGATTTTGTACACTATTTTTGAGTTTGACCTGAGCTTTGAACTAATGATATTATAAAAAGGTTGAGTACCTCTGAGTTAGACTGTAAATTTTCTGGCAAAAAGTTGCAGCGGGGTCAACGTTAGTCTTCCGATAACGTCAAATTCTTGTTTGAGAGTTTTACTTCCATCTTATTTATGCTATAAGAAACTAAAAAAAGCTCTTGGACTGAAGTGTGCAGATGAGTTTTGCATGGTGAGTTTTAGACGTTAAATTTGTTTAAATGGGTTTATTGTCAATTAAACCCTAAATTTGTAATTTGTTATTGATGTGCATAGATAAAAGTAAGCAATTTAGTTTGATCCGAGTTCACTCTAAAGGCTATTTTCATATTATGTCACCTTGGCTTATGTACTTTTGTGACCGTTAGTTTATGGTAGGAAAGTCTGTTAGACCGTAAGCACGTTTTGCTGCAATCTGATGGTTGACGACAAAAACCCTTTTTGGGTGAGGAATGGTGATATAAGACGTTTAAGAATTTACATATACATGTGCATTGTGCGTTTGCAGTTGCTATTAAGGAGAAAGATAGAGAGCAATAAACATACGATTTTAAAGCTATAGACGTTGAAATAAAAAAAAAATAGAGTTGACAATAATCGAAATTAAGTTTTTCAAATAAAAAATATATGATGTTTTTAAATTTTCATACTATAATTTTGCATAGTTACCTTAACTTAATATTATTCACAATGAATAGTTATACAAACACATAATTTCTAATGTGCGATAGAATTGCAGTCAAACTATTGCAGACAAGGTGAGCTAAATGTGTAAATTATATAAAAAACGTACACTTTAACCAATTACCACGCTCTGAATGATTACGTTTGGAATGTAGCAATGGGGTATTTGCAGTGTTGTGTCATTTGAACTATACAAAGAGAGTCATCAGTTCCGACCATGACCTTTGCTAACTTTCCATGTACGTTTGTGGTGGGTAATTTGTGATTAGTTGCGTACGATTACACATGAAGGTCGTTGTGCATCAAACTCATCATGTGCCACGTTGTCAGAGGGCCACCGTGTCAGACGCATGCTAAGTTGTTGTCGAAACACTTCATTATCCTATTGCCGCTTGAAGGTACACACAAATTGTGGTGGATAGTGTTGTGACTGTAAATTATAGTGTTCCTGGTGAGTTTTTCTTTAATTGCTGATTTCTATCAATTATTAGGATTAATCAGTTTTTCGTTAAATTTATTTTGGTTTGAGGCTTGACTTTGACTTGCTATATATTTTATTATAACGCTGTTTGCTACTAAGTAAGTACAGTATTTCAAAACTATTGAAAGCTTAGTTTTTGTCTAACTGATTGATTAGTTACCATCGTTATATGTACAGATATGTATGTTCATGGTAAACGATCATTACAAGTTGGGACGAAACCCATTTTTTGCTAGAGTGTAATTGAAATGCCGGACTCATCTTTCACATAAGGGTGGGGAGATTGAGGTTATTACAATGCCAAGCGAATATATATTGTTTTTTTTGCTACCTACCAATTACTTATCTTTTCTTGAAAAAAATCTAGTACGATCCTATAATTAGTACAATTAAGGGGTATAAATTAAATAAATATATCAAGTTTATCAATTGAAAAATATTTCATTTTTTCTAAAATAGTAAGAATTAAAATTGGTGACTCCGTGACGCAGTCGTCAAGGTATTGCCTTCGGCTTCGGGGGTCGTGGGTTCGATTCCCACACGGGACAACTATTTCTGTGATCCACAGATAGTTGTTTCGCATCTGGGTGTTTGACCACGTGAAATTTATGTATGTAAAACGTCCTTGCAACACAGGATAATGTTATCCTAAAGTGAAGGCAATGTAAAAAAAGAGAAAAGAAAGTAAGATACCAACAAATTAACACAGTTTATATAATTTTAAACATTTAATAGCATCTAGAGAGTTCGTTTTGACTAGCGATTTAAAAGATTTTTAGGGAAAATGCGTTGAAAAATCAAGCTTTCAACGTATTTTAGCTTAAAAATCGTTTGTCAACGCATTTATATATATTTTCGAACCCATCGAAAGCATGCGCAATATCAAAGCATTTACAACTTTTAAGTAGTTGCACCAACTAGAGGTCAAATGCAAATCGATTATGATTTCTCGATGTCAAAATGTAACAATCAGATAATCGAGCGAATAAACATCTCATTTTACGTTATGAGTCGTCGTTAACCTAATTAACGAAACTTTGCGATGGTAGATAGCGTTTTTTTTATTACATAATCACCATTTCTAGTTTTGATTAAAGCATACATCGGTCTTTCCAATCACATTTTGTTAACGTACACAACAGATGGGTAAAATTTATTACGAAAGTTAGCCCGAGTGTTATGATGTCGGCCGTTTATTATATTAATCAAGTAGATCGTAACTATTTACGACATCGATCGCGTAAATGATTGCATGTGTTGCGTATCATAATCGATTGTTCCATGTCGCATGCTTTGAGTGACAAACGTGATACTCATAAAAAGCATTTCATTCTTGAGCCATATTAGAGTTTAGATTTATTATAAAAAAATGTATTTAACGCAATTTTAAATATTAATTCCGTCTAACTTGGTAAAGTTAAATGAAAATTTAAAGCTAGTTTCATCAAATATGTTAATGAACAATTTATTGCGTAAGCAAGGATTAGTATAAAGATTTCAAGGAATTGAAATTGGATTGAAATTTATACTAAAAATTAGTAATAAAAAAAAACACTTGTTTACAGCAAAAATTACATTAGGACGTTCAATATCTTCAAAAGCCTCCGAAACGCTGACTTAGTTTTGTTTAAATGGGAAATTTCAGTTTGCATGTGTAAATAAACATTAATTAATATTGTCAACAGGCGTTGGTGACGAGTCGATATTTAATCTGCATTACGAATTGTATTCACCAGCAGTTTAGATCCTCAAAAGTTGTGATCTGGGTATCTATCGTTTGATGCATAGTAATTCACATAGGTGAAAGTAATTTGTCGCGTATGTAAAATTTGTGAGTAAAATGAACGTCACGTGTGTTAAAAAGAGTCACTTCGTTTATTTTCCGATTGACTGAGTAAAATAATATATTCTTTTGAATTCGAAAAGTGTTGTAATGGGACAACAGTAATAGGGGAAGGGAGAAACCATAAACGTATTGCAGTTTTTTCCCAAAGGCAAATAGTGAAAGCCTAACGACGTTTATAAAGTAAAGTAATAGCATACATATTTTCCATTGCTTGGAAAAGGCCTCCTGTTACAGAGGGCTTAGAGCTTAGTTCACCACGCGACCTCACTGCAGATTGGCGAACTTCACGTATCGCCGAAATATTTTCAAAATATGCAGGTCTCCTCACGACGTTTTCCTTCACCGCTGAGCACGTGGTAAGAAAGGTCTTAAAGTTCACAATTTTATTGGTGCCGGCACCGGGGATCGAACTCAGGTTGCTCAAATTTATTGAATTAAAAGTGAGCGCTCGGGCAATGAGCTATCACTACTGTTTATTTTAAGAGTTTTAAATAATCTGATTAATTTATCTGTAATCGGAATCTCGGAAACGGCTCCAGCGATTTTCATAAAATTTAGAATGTGCATAGATTCGGGGGCGAAAAATCAATCTAGCTAGGTTTCACTTTTAGAATATGTTTTAATTCGTTTTAAGGGAATGAAAAATATCATTCGAATATTACAGTAAATTTCGCCGAAAAAAAATGTTATAATAGCTCGGTCGGTAATGGGGCGGCCCCCAAACAGAAGGCCGTGATTCGTATCACAATCTTTTCCTATACCAGATTATTGCTTTCTTTATTTTTTATTTTTTTTATTTCCAAAATACACGATTTACCAAAACAAAAAACCGAGCAAAGCTCGTTCCTCGAGGTACTTATTATATAATGGTTGGAGATTTTGTTGTAATTGGTACAAAATTTGAAAGTTGCACTTGACGTCGTCTGGTCTTTGACCTTGAATATTAAGTTTAAAAATTATATTACGATCCAAAACTGCTTTTGCTTTCCTTCTCAGAAATCGCATAACTCGTTTACAAAATTTTACGTTTATTATATAAATTATTTGACTTCGCATAACGTTCGGAGACACCTATTATTTTGAACCGTGGGTATGGCATGAATTTATAAAGTAGTTTTTTCTTTATAACGTTCTTCATATGTTGCCAGGCCATCGTTACGAATGGTATTCATATGTTTTGGTGCTTACGTGTGCCAAATAATCGCAGACTGTTAAGTAATACTGTTCTCGCACAAGCAGTTACATATTTTATATTACCTAATAGTACAGGACATTAATTTTCTCGGTTAATACTGTTTTGTTATGACACATTATCATAAAACATCGTTCACCAAATGAAGTCTAAAAATTCAACTTTGACTTAATTTTGTCTGAAATATATCAAGAATTTAGTTGTTTTTTGCGGTTGGTTCTATCGAAAAGAAAAGACCGTAATTACATATCGTTAAAATATTAAAGATAAGTTGAACAGAGGATATACGCTTTTCTCTATTCTTGGCAAAGCTATATGTGTTTGCAAAGAATCAAACCAGTTCCAATACGTTAAATGCAGGTTGTCCACAAGTAATCAGTAGGCAATCGAGTAGCTCGATGGTCAGACTCCATCGTGTACTTTATTACAAGCTGCAACTTTCGTCACATAATTTGTAAACTTGCTACTTTGTGAAATAACGTATGAACATTATTCATAAGTGTGAAATTGTGAAAAGTTATCCGACAATTGTATATTAAATAAAATATACACCAATATCACTAGTCACTGACTCTTCATTTGATTCACGTTCGCAAAGATAACATTTGCGAACGGATGTGCGATATATGCATGTAGGCAGATGTGTTGAATTCACTTAATTTTTATAATAAAAAATAATAATATAATTACTTACTTCCAAACGTTTGTAACATCCAATCACTTCAGCATATAATCCGAAAAATATTAAAAACTAGCATAAAAAAACGTCACAGATTTTCACGAAAAAGTAAGAAGCACAAAAACTTCTTTTTCAATTTAAAAAGAAGAGGTCTGTCAAAAAAGCACTAGCGACCTATCAGGCGCACGAAAAAAAAAAAACGCTATTATACGTTCCGACCTGCAGCCGGAGTTGGCGAAACTGACGTACGCAGCGCGCAGGCGCCGCCAAGGTATTGTTAAAAGTTACTTTTACTTGCGCGACGTGCTGTTCTAGGTGGCTCGGAGACCTCGCCGCCGCGCTGTCACTCCACGCTCGCGCGTCCACGAAAGGGAAAAACCGAGTTGTCTCTTTTCGTCAGCGGCCGCAACGTTAGAAAATTTATAAAGCCGATACACAAAGTGTTTGTGCAAGATTAAAAGGAAACTTGTAGCTATGCTAAATGCTGGTCACGGTTCATTGAAATTTTAGGCGAGCGTTGCCTTACTTCCTCGCGTTGAGTGGCAAGTAGAAGCAAATTTCGTGGCTTTAGTCATATATAAATGTTATTTATTTCTTTTTAGAGTAAATTATGTAAAGGTTTCAATTAAACATTTTATTGAACCTGAACATTGCTCGGAGCAAAGTTTCTCATTTTAATAAAATATAAATTGGAACTTTTGTTACAGTATAATCTTAATAAAATAATATACTTAATTTTCGTTTTCGAGCCTCTAATATCTCACAGAAAATTCTGAAATGTATATTGAATTTTTGAATGTTAGTTGTACCTAACACAAACCTAATCAAACATTTTTAACATAACTAAACGGCTAACTTTATTCTGGGTTGAATTTCAACACCATAATGCTCCGGACATTAGCTTAAAGAGGAAACCTTTTCACCGGACCATTAAGCTCTACAAAAGGATTTTCTGGATTTGAAATTCAACCATCTGCTAAAGCCCTGCTGAAAGGCTTTTTTTGGAGAGTTAAGATCCGTCGAATCCAAATTCTGCCAGCAATCACTGCCTTCGCTGGTGAAATCAGATGGATAATTTGCACATACGGTCAACAAGAAGGTCTATTTATACAGTTCAATTTACCACTTTCACTCCCTTACTACGAAACCACCATGGAGGTTCGTAAAAAAATCGTGATGTTTTAAAAATTTTAAGGAATCTAGACGTGAAGAAAGCTATTGGATCTGACCAAGTTCTGCAGGCTTGTGCACCCTAGTCGTCTCCTGTTCTGACACGTCTTTTCCGCCTCTCATTTCATACTGGAGTAGTCCCTATTCCAAAAAGGGTAGTCGTGCCCATGCTGCCATTTACAGCCCAATTTCAATTAACTCCATATTGTGTAAAATTACGGACCGTATATTGAACGTCCGCCTTATGGCATATATAGAACAAAACGACCTTCTCAGCAACCGCCAGTAGGGATTTCTGTGAAATCGGTCAACTGCAGACCGTCTAGTGTATGCTACTCACCTTTTGGGCGAGGCACTGAAGGTTAATAGTGAAGCACTTGCGGCTTCCGTAGACATCTTGAGGGCCTTTGACAGGGTCTGGCACGCTAGCCCCTCAGCAAGTTTCCAACGCACGGCATATCTCCTGTCCTTAGTGCATGGTCTCTCCGAGTAGTCGAGTCGAGAGAGCTTTTTGGGTGTCCGCCCTTTCCGCAGCCTATTTTTTTGCTGTACGCTGCGATACGCATGCACAGTTGTGGAGTTATACCAACCCATTATTCGGGTCGGTAGAGATCTCATCCAGTCCGAAAGGTAAAGGTAAAGGCAACCATGGTAGAGAGTTTGAATCTTACATTGAAGGCGGTCTCTTTCCACGCCTCTTCACTTTGGCTCCTACTTTCCGGATATCTCTAAAGCCAAAGCAGCTCAAGTGCAATCGTTTGTGGAGTAATGCTTATATGTGGGCAGGGGTTGCAAAATGCCAGCTGGCTGCCTTGGACTTAATGGAGCGGTGTGCGGAAAGGATAATTGGTGACCGTAACTTGGTTAAAACCAATCTCACAAGCCTTGAGCACAGGCGCAAAATAGCCGAGTAGCATCTCGGTTTTCTACAGGAAGCATTTTGTAGTGTGCGTTGGAATTGCACGATTTGATTCCGCCCCTTTCCATCATCGGACAACTAGACGTTCGGCGGGGCTCCACCCTTTTGCTGTCGATCTTCCACTCACAAGAACGAAGCGATACGCTTCGTCATTCATCATCCATACAGCTTAGTAATGTGACAACCTGCCGACGTCCGTCTTGCCTTCTGATTATAACGTAGGCGTCTTAAAGGCAAGAGTGAATATACTTTAACTGAGCCAGCGCGGTTACCATCATCGGCGGCATCGCCACGTACCACCACGTAACATGGCAAGCGCTGGCCAGTTTTGAATTAAAAAAAAAAAACACTAACAACGATATTAAATAAAATAATCTAGTTATGACGAAAGTTATCAATATCAAGAATTGCTCTGGTTTTATTCAAGTTAAAAAATATAATTTGCAAAAAAGTGAAATAATTCTATTTCGTTTATAAAAAAAACTTCCCTTGATCAGCATCAAATGGGGAAGAACTTTAATTCTATTTTATTTTGAAGCGTAAATCAAAGATTGATTGTGACACTAATAAAATTATCAATTAAACGACAATAAAAATGCTTTCGCCATTTAAATAATTCCGCATATTACATAAAAGCAATACAGAAACATGTTACCAAATTAATGACTTTAAGCCAAGGCAGTCTTATTAAAATCTTTTATGGTCTGCTACATTTTTGGTGGTACGCTTGATCCGTTTTAGGATAACGCCATTTGAAATAAAGATAAGTGAAGCGGTCTGTAAGATGATCTTATTTGGTAAGTGGAACAGTAGATCTGACGTAGAGTATCCAGATTTGCTCTGTACAAAAAAATTTGAGTGCTATTGTTAAGTTATGAAATAGCACAAGTTGGTACAGAAACAACAGCATCTAGTTAAAATACTATTATTAATAGCAACTGCTGTATATTAAATCATTTTAAATATACTGTAAAACACGTGACGGGATCTTTTTGATGCTATTAAAATGATCTTGCTTGAAATCCTGTGGGTGTGGTATGTACTATTATATAATAACAAGTACTATTAAGGTACTTTTTCTAGGTAAAAAAAGTATGCACTTCATATCCAATTTAAACAAAATATAATTTCATCGAAAAATGAGAGTAATACATGTTAACAGGAGTAATAATATTATAATATCTATAAAGAAAGATTTTTAAAATTAAATATGTATTTCTGTTGGGATTATTAAATGGGGGTGTCATAGTCACTGTGTGACAAAACTTCTTTCTAAAAGTAACGATTAAAAAAATGTATTTGAATTTGGATTTGCGTGTTATTTTGAATTACATACGACTCATTTAATACAAAACGAGCAGAAATAAATAGTAGTACTTTCCCTACTTACTTTTTCTGCTCTTACATATATATTATATTAATGAAAAGAAAAATTAGCTAAATCTTGGTTAGAAAGTAACTAGCTTTGAATAATTCGTGGCGGTCGTTTGTTCGCCCTGAAGATTGATTGAAGAGATATGTAAGAGAATATAGTCCTAACAAATAAGAAATGAAAATGTTAATTATTATTTGTAATAAATAATGCGTTATCCATCATACACACAAATGTCGGATTTAAAGAAAATACTAAGCCCTTGCCAATTTTTGTTTTTTCTCTGAGTCTCCTTTCTTTTTATTGGTTAAAATAATTAAGATACACAAAACATGCGAGGATATAGCTATAGAATTCAACTTTTGAACGACAGTTAATTTAGCAAAGATATATTTTTATGGAAAAAATATGTAGGTATTCAAAATGATGTACTTAGTACGCAATGTAAGAAGTTATACTGCTTTAGCTTTTACTGCAGGATAAAAGTATCCTGTGATGTAAGGATGTTTTGCATACATAAATTTCACGTCAACAAACACCCATAGTTGTCCCGTGTATGAATCGACCCACGAAATCACGGTGGCAGGGCCAAGCAGCAGCCGCGGCTGTTGCACGAATGGATAGGTTCGTCCGGGTAAGTACCACGACCACACAGAAGACTGGCGTAAAGTGGAATAGTAAGTATAATACTTTCACGTTTCGTCTGGTGAGTGAGGTGGCCGGAGCCCAATTTTCAATAGGTTGTCAACGCATCTTGAACCCTCGGGTGTGGCAGATGTCCATGGGCGGCGATATTCACTTAATATCAGGTTAACCGTCTGCTTGCTTGGCAACTTTTCACATAAATAAACGACCCTTAGCACCGAATCATCATTAATGGTCGCTTTGCAATCAACTTTATAATGTCGCTTTTTTGCTGTCAGCGTCCGCGCGCATCCTAAATATTATACTCTCATAATTTTTTTTCAAACGCGCCCAAATAAATATAATTTAAAAAATAATTTCATCTAACATCATGACTCCACCCAATAAAAGATTTTCATTAAGTTTCAAAAATGAAAAAAAAAAAAAAAAAAAAAAAAAAAACGCTGATTATTAAAAGGAACTTCCATTTAGTATCTAGCTATTTGGCTACAATGCGCACATGATACGACCATTTCAACTGTAACCGGAGTCGGTCTGACAACACGAGATCCGCCAAATAATATGTGAACACGTAGTGAACGTCAAGGTCGGGTTCTAGTTTCTTTCCAATTATTAAATATACGAATACCGACAAGAGCACTATAAGTAGTCAAGCGTTACGAGAAACTGTTGCGGGCATTTTGCACAAAAACATGATGAATTTATATAAACTTGCTGTAACTGATTTGGTGTTAGACGACTTGTAATTGTACATACGTGAAAAAGAGTACAATTGTATTTGACTGTATGAATATAAAAGTCTCCGAAAGCTAACACCCTTCAATAATATTGTTGTAACCTCGAAAGTCCTTTCGAAGAAAAACAGAAACAGGTTCTGTTTTATTGCTACCAACATCAATATATTCAAGAAAGTTATAATAGTCCTCGT